GGCAATGCTCTCCACCACTCCTGCATGCAGAGCAGACATCAATAAGTGATTACCACTTTTTCTGCTGAACCTGGATACAGCCTCAGAAGTTGACTCAGCACAGTCCCCCAGTCAATCAGTCAGCCATTACCAATCAATTACCCTCTGGATGAAATCATTTGCCTCCTACTGGACAGACAGAGCCGGGCAGCCTTTGCAGTCTTGACATCTCCTCCTACCCTCATTTCTCGTTACTGCTCTGTGCTCCAGATTTCTTCAACTGCATGTCATTCCCAAACTTACTGCCTTTATCTCGCTCCTCAGAGTATTTGTCCATGACAGTCCCTCAGCCAGCCTGGAATGTCCTCTGCGCAGTATGCTAGTTGTTCTTCGATATCTGTTCTCCCACGCACCATTGTAATAAAGTTCTATCTGGGCATATTGCCACCCACAAAAAATATTGCCTGGCCTCCCTTGAACCTGGGGGTAACCACATGACTAAGTTCTGGCCAATGGGATGGGAGCAGAAGTGATCGGTGTCTCTTTTTTCAAGTTTGGCTCTTGAGAGTTTGAGCACATACTCCACTTGTCCCCTTCCCCTTTCGTGCTGGTCATGGGGTGGCGAGAACCGAAGCACCTGCCAGAGGAGGATGCCACAAGATCATCACAGCAGAGCCAGCTCCCAGCCCTGGCCTGCTAGGGAAGGAAGACCTCCACCTCCGCCTTGTCTAAGTCCTTGTATTTGGGGGTCTCTTGTTATGGTGTCTATGCGGACGCCATAGGGAGTCTATGATGCCCTAAGGATACGCCTTCCCACCTGCTTATTTGATCCTTATGAACAACCTCCAAGGCCACTCCTCGGTGAAGTTTTCCCAGAGCCCCCAGCTCCTTTGGCTCCTGGGCACTTCATGCACCCCTCACCAGCACACTGACCCGGAAGGCGGCTGTGGCCTCTCCCATTAGGCTGGCTGAAGGCGACTTCTCTGCTTTCATCCATCCCCTCTGCAGTGCTGGTCGTGGCACTAGTGCACAAGCCTGACCACATCACCCCCATGCCACCACTGCTGCAGTCCAAGCCCTTTGGCCTGGCATTCAGGGTATGACTCTGGCCTACCCTTTCCCTTGGAGATGAGGCTCAGACAGCGAAGTGATTTCCTTTAGCAGCTGAGCCAGCCATTCTTCCCTCTGGGTGCAAAAACGTGTCATCCTTCACACTGCCTGCCCCACCCTGGACTTGACAGAGGCCAGCCTCACCCAGCCCCAGCGCGGCGGGCCTGAAGTAGCTGCTTCCTTGCTGGCTAGACCTATAATGTCCTGCTCCTCCTTTGTTAATAAGAAAAGGGACAGAGAATGGGAAAGTTTCCTTGGTCTTTGTATTTTTCTCAAGTGGCCTAGGAAGTCTCACGGTAGGTATATCTGTTCCCAAGACCCTTCTTCTGTCCCACCAGGCCATACGCTTTGCAAATGGCCCACACCTATTCCTCTGAACTTCTAGCAGCCATGACCCTCCTAACTGAGGGTTGACCTTTGGCATCCCTCTCAGGCCTGCAAGCCCATCACTCCCTTGGCAAACAGCACATGCAGCCCAGAAGCAGGATACAGCCAGATCTTAGCCAGTAGATGGCTATTTTTGGACTGGGAGGATCCCAGGAGGATGCTGGCAAGGTCAGATAGAAAGGGAAAGAGGCAGGTTTTCTGCCCATGATTATGTGTCCCAGGCCTTCTGGGTGCCGCCCAGGGGCCCAAGGCTGCCACAAGGAAGAACACACCCACCACAGGACTCCGGCTTGGCCTAGCTGGCCACAGAGGGCAGGCACCAGTTTGAGGATCCAGGCTTCCATCTCAGCAATCACAGTGGCCAGGAAGAGTGTGTTTGTTTTGTCCCAATAGCAGTGAATTCAGCATCAGGCAAGATGTGGGGTGGGGTGGGGGATAAGGTGTCTGAAACCAATCTGATGGCAGAGGGAGAACACCAGGAAGCAGCCAGTCATCAGCAATGACTACTGATGCTCATTTATTGAGCATTCACAGAGCATCTACTATGTATGGGGTACAGTATTAGGTGCTGGCAAAACACAAGTGAATCAAGCTTTGAATTTGTATGTGGCACTTGACAATTGTAGGAGTCCTTCTGTGAGGATCAGGAGCCTTAAAGTGGTTTATAAACTCCAACCATCAGGAAATAATCAGAAATGCATGATGTAAGGGCAAGAATGACAGTGATGTTCTCTTTGCAAATTTGAGGATGTTCAAACATGCCAGAGTGTCAGAACTGAACTCCCTTCTACCTACTTTTAGTATTTTGAGGAGGGTTACCGATGCACATGAAGTGCTCAGTCCTGTGCCTGGCACATAGTAGGTGCTCAAGTGGGACACAGCAGCAGTAACTGCTATTATTTATAATAGGTTGGGTTTGGTGTTGAGAAGGTTACCATACCAAGGCATGAGAAGCCTCAGGTCAGAGAGAGGCAGGGCAGGGGACCCAGCAGGCCCCAGCCCATCCTAGGAGATTTCGCTGTGATTCCATGACGTGAGATGCTTCTGTGTGGCCATTCCAGTCCTTCCCTTCCTCAGTTACAAAAGGCTGGAAGAGCATCTTAGTTCTGTCCGATTTTGCCTGAGTTTGGGGCCTTCTGTTTAAATTCTTCGGGTGTTGCCCACTGGCTCTGGTGTATGCTTTGGGTCAAACTGCCTTCTGAGAAATTCTCAACATGCAGAGGTATCCCTCCCAGGAGCCCCTGCTCACTCTCCCTCCACGCCTGGCCAACTCAGTCCCTGCTGAGGACCAGTGTCAAGCCCTTTCTTCTCCCCATGGCGTTTCCTCCTCCCCCGACCCTCTGAGCTGCTTCATGGTCTTCTCCTCACTGCCCAGGACCCATGGGTTCCGCACAGACTCCCAGAAGGCAGGGAGAAGAGAAGTGCTCTTCCAAGTCCTTGCCCCTCCTGCCACATTCCTCCCCAGCTCCCAGCCTCCCAGGACTATCTGAGCCCGACTTTCTGAAGCACAATTTTGAAACCTATTGAGAGCCACCCACTCTGATGATGGACAGGACACTTGAAGGTCACCAGATAACTGATGTGCTTTCCCCAGTGAGGCAAGGAAGGGAGAAAGGCAAGCCTCTGCCTGGTCACAAATGTGCCCCCAACACTAGGACATGGCATTTGATAAGGATTTCTCTGCATCTTTGAAGTGCGAGAGGCAGTTGAGAAAATAACAATAATCGTGCTTACTAGGAATCAGAGAAGATGCTAAGCAGTTTCCAGGATTATCTCGAGGAATCTCTACCTTGCCGGTGTCTATTGTCCCTGTTTTCAGACAAGGCAACTGAGGCACAAAGAGGTTAAATAACTCTCAAGGTTATAAGCCTGGTCCATGTTGGAAATGGAATTCAAACCTACATCTTCTGTGGCTCCAAATATCCTGCCCTTAACCAGCATTCTATATGCTGAGCAAAAATCGGTTGTCATTGTCCAAGAGTTATAAGGGCAACAGACATGATCCTTGGAAACATGGGCTGCCCCACAGCCCTGATGCAAATGGTCTCTCTGCCCAGGCCCCATCACCCAACCCTCACCTCCACCCCATCTCATTAATCTTGGCATTCCTCTCCCGAAAGCTTTCCCAGACCCCCGGGCCCAATCTTCAGGGCCCAGAGGGAGGGAGGGAGCTTCCCAGGGCTTCTGGACACCCTTTTAATTAACCCAGACGACCCTCTTCTCACCGGGTCCAGCTGAATCGTTTCACAGTCTCCTTGTCTCCCAGGGCAGCATCCTGTAACTGTGACTCCCACCACAGCCCATTCACTCTCCAGCAAATGCGGTCCCTCGTTTCCCATATGCTTAACATCTGTCGGCCTCTCTTCCCTGGTTTGGGGACCTTGATGAGAGTTACTTGAGCCCCTTGGCTTCTGGGGCCAGAGGAAGGCCTGCCAGAGAGCCTAGTGAGCACCCTGCAAATGCCACCTGCCACCATGGATATCGAGGAGGCCACACGCTGAGCTGGCAGAGGCCGGTAGCAGACCAGAACTCTCTGCCATTACTTAAATGTGATACCTTGTCTTCCCCAACTCTTCTTTAGGCCTTCCTTCCCCACCGCCAAAGAGGTACAGCCCATTCTACTTCCTCAAGGAAATAGTGAAACTTCCTCATCTGTTATTCTCATGGCTTAACAATAACAGGCACCTAGAAAAGTAACAGGCACCTAGAAAAGTTCTCATAAGCTGTAACTTATCATTTGCATTCACGGTGGACAATGTACTTGAATCCAACACACTGCATGGTGCCCAGCAGGTCCTTAGTACATAGCTGTTACACAGATGAATAGACATAGTTGAGGAGCAGGCCCAAGGATACAGAGGAAAGTGCTAGAATAGCCAGGTCAGGGGTCTGCCCACACAGAGCTAGTAAGTGGCAAAAGCAGGTTTTTGTTCTAGATTAGACCAGTTCACTGTATTACACAGCCTTGTCTTGCAACCTTTGGCTTGTGCCTACATTCCTTGCATGTAAGCACGTGTGTGTTGCATGTAGCCTAGAAGCCATATAGTGAACATGCATTGCCCTAATCCAGCTAGCTATAGAAAATAAGGTCTTACAATTATGGGGTCATTCATTCAGGTAACAAACATTTTTGCATACCTGGGAAGCTGGGGACACAATGATGAATACAGCAAGCAAGGTGCCGCCCCTTGGGGGGCTGATGGTCCCTTTGACGCTGCATAGCACTTCATAACTTTCGAAAGAGCCATGCCCATCATCTTATCTGACTTCCCCACAACCTGGTTCAAAGAGTGTCAGGCCCATAAAAGACTCTATGAACAAATGAATGGTGGGTGGACTGATGGATGCTGGGCAGGCAGGCCAATCAGTGAGTAGATGGAAGGCAGCCACAGATATTGTCACTCCTGTCTTTCAAATGAAAAGTGATGGCCTGAGTGAGGTGAGGCTAGAGCATGGCCACCAGGAAGAACCTCTGGTCTCAGTCCTGGGAACACCCACTGTCACCTGTTTGCAGGGCTGCTTACCTGGCGGGCAGTTACATCCTGGAGATGTCTTTGGGGCCTCCCGGCGCCTCCTTGAGTGGAGCTTCCATTTCTGTACAAGGAGACAGACAAGAGGAGTCAACAGGAGCTCATAGACACCAAGCCCTGGAAAGCGGCTGTGGGCTGACGAGGAGGGCAGCAAGAGGGGGAAGGGGTCACATAGGGGGAGCTGGCAGAACTCTTCCTGGATCAAAGACAGGCAGTTAATGGCCTTCCACTGGCCACCGTACAACTGGGTAATAAAAAGGAGACAAGAAAGCCCATCCTGGTAATCACAATGTCTGATGTCTTTGGAGCACTCTTAAAGACATTAACCCCAAACACAGGACCCTATAAACCAGTTGCATCTTCCCGCACCTCACGCTCATGTGTACAATGACATGCTTTTCTCAGCTCTCTGCTAATAGTTTCCTGCCTTGGACTGGGCTCCTGATGGACCCCTGGGCAGGGACAGTGCCTTCTGTTCTTCTGGTGTCCCTTACAAAGCTAGCATTTGCAGACTGGGCAGGGGTACAGGAGTAGGGGGATGGCAAGGCTCTCTGCACCCCTCTGCCAAATATCTTCCTCACTTCCCTCCAAATTACTGAGCCAACCTGGAAGGCTCCAAAGAGGTGGGAGCATCAAAGAGGTAGAATATCCCAACCCTCAAGGAGTTGTCATGTTCATGATGGCAAGTGGAGAGGAGCATGCATAATGACCATGCATGCAGGATGCCTCTGTGTGTCAACTCTGCAGGCTTACGCTGCACAGGGCAATGTAACAAGGGTCTCGTAAGGACTCTTACTTGATCCTTGCAACAAAGTTGGCCAGACTAGCAGTTAACAGGGACACCTCTAGAGCCAGGCTGACTGGACTAACCACAGTTCTCAGACTCTGGGCTAATAAGAGTCCTCACTTCATTGGATTACTGTGAAGTTAGAAAGATTAATGCATAGAAAGAATGGCACCTGATACCCAGGAAGTTCTCAATGAATGTTAGCTATTACCATATTCATTTCACAGGTGAGGAACTTGAAGCACAGAGAGGAGACTGCACCTGGCCAAGGTCAAGGTTGAAGTAAGGAACAGAGCTGGGATTCAAACCCACACTCTGATGCTCATGAAGCCATAGGAAGCTGGTAGCCCTAGGGTCAAATAGGACTTTCAGTGTATTTTATTTGGTTCCCACAGTGAGCTTTAAATCGTTATTATTATTGAATTTGTTGCCAATATTTTGAAGTGAGTGGTTTCATGTGCAAACCTGCATTTGTAATTTCTCTTGAAAAACTAACTGAGAGATCTGGCCACATGAAGCCTGTGCTCTGGCTGGCCAGAACTGACTGCACGTGATGTGCAGTAGTCCCCACCCTGACAATGTTGACCAGTTAGGGTGACAGCCAGAGCTATTTGCTTCCTCACTACTGTGGAATTTTGCCACTCAGTGTGGGCCACAAGGGAGGTGAAGAAAGTAATATGAGAGGTGTCATAAGGGTGATATCACCTCTGGTTTGGGGATGGAGAGGGGAGGTCAGAAAGTTTCACAAGGATTCAGAGCAAGCGGAGTGATTTGCTGAGGGTATTACAGTCAGGATGTAGAGGATCTGAGGTGTGAACTCTGGCCTCCTGGCACAAAGCCCGCTCCACCTGCTGGAGGAAGGTGAGTGCAAATGCCTGGGGAGGGAACACAGTGACAGATGGAGGCGGGGGCTCTGAGAGCAGAAGGGGGTCAAGATCAAGGCAACCAGAAGAAGGGAAACACCCCAAAGTGGGGACCCTCACTTAGAAAGGGGAGGCTGAGTAACAATTAGGTGGATGGATGTTGAAGCCAAACTACAAGTGGGCACAGAGCAGCCGCGGGGCCAACAAATGAGCCCTCAGGACAAAGCCTGCTCATAGCCCCTCTGGTGCCCAGCTCTGAGCCTGGCTCATGAATGCTGCTTTCCTGTAAGGGACTGCATGAACCCGCCTCCACATCCCTCCCCACCAATCACCTGGGGGCCTGGCACCCAGAAGGTGCATGACACAGGTCTGCTCAAGGACAAAACCAGTCAATGACTGACAAGCCAAGACCAGAGGAGTCGGCAGCATTTTGGCTAAAGGTTGTAACCATCAGATATGTCACCCACTCAGCAGCAGCACTAAGCAAGCTGCCATCACAGGGTTGGGCTGGAGACAGAGCTTGTGGCATGAGTGGGTGGTGCCCCTGCTCCGTCCCCATGGGGCACAGCCCTAGAGGGGCATAACTTCTCTTGGAAGAAAATATCAATAAGAAAACAAAAAATATGTAACAGGCAGTGATAAATGCTGGGAGAAAAATGAAGTAAGGCAAGGGAACAGAGCGTTATGGAAAGTGGTCTTTTCATACCAGGGGATCAGGGAAGGTCTCTCTTTGAGGGGACTTTGAGCAAAGACCCAGAGGAAAGTAAGAAAATGAGTCATGTAGTACCTGGAGGAAGTAAGAAAATGAATCCTTTGGTATCTGGAGGAAGTGTGTTCCAGGCAGAGGGAACAGCAGAGGTGAAGGCCCAGAGACAGGATTGTGCATGGAGCATCTGAGGAACAGGAAGGGGCGAAGTGTGGCTGGAGTGATCTGAGTGAGGACAGGGGATAGGAATGTGGGGGGCAGGAAGGCAGGTCATTAAGGCAGGGGCAGAGATTTTGAATGTGTAACATGGATCCCTGCCACTGGTTCCGGGCTTGTTGACAGCCATAAAGCACCACAGCTTGTGGGTGCTGTGGTGGGCCGTCCAGTCTCCCAGGATTAGACCAGTGGTTTAGCTGTTGGGAGTGTTGGCTGCTGATGGCTGAGCCTCTTTCTGGGAGCTGCTCTTAGCCCAAGGAAGCAGCCTTGATCAGGGTCATACCGTCCCCCAAAGGCAATCCATATTTAATTACTGATAGATGGGAGGAACGCAGACCTGGCCCCTCCGCCTCAATTTGGACTGACTCTAGGGCCACCCCAGCTATGGAGCTCCCACAGGACCAGCTGGGGCCTCTGTCATGACTGTATCACAGTTCAGCCCCTCCTCTGCCCAACTCTACTTCCCTCACTCCCCCTCCTATGTTGATGCCAATAAGTTAAATAAGTAAGTCATCTACTCATAGACCTCCACTTTGGAGACTGTTCGCTTGGGAACCCAACCTAAGGCAGACCTCCATGTGACTTTCACATTTCCTGAGACTTCACCTGACCCTCATCACTACCCGTGCAACAGGCAGGCCAGAAGTCAGCCCTATTGTATAATCCTGGAAACTAAGACCCAGAAAGGGAAAGGCAATTGCCTTAAACAAGTAAACCACAGAGGGCCTAAATTCCGGGTCCTCTAACTTCAAGTTCAATGCTTTTGTTCAATAGCTCCTATATTTATTGAGTGCCTACTATTGGTGAGACTGAGTAAAATAGAGAATGAGACACAGTCCATCAGCAAACAGCTGAGTTTGGTGTGGGAGAAGCATGCTCAGATGTGTCCAGGGGACTGTAGACTTTGGAGGGCCTGGGTGTTGAGTGGAGAGTGGGAGCTGTGAGGGTTAATTTTATCTGTTAACTTGCCTGGGCTAAGGATGCCCAGATAGCTGGGAAAACATTCTTTCTAGGTATGTTGATTAACACTGGAATTAGTAGACTCAGGAAAGAAGAGTGTCCTCACCATAGTGGGTGGGCATTATCTGATCTGTTGAGGGCCTGAGTAGAATAAGGTAGAGGGAGGAAGACTGCTCTCTCTGCTTGAGCTGGACTATCCATCTTCCCCTCCCCTCGAACATCGACTCCCCCTGCACCACAATTGGTTCTTGGCCCTTGAGACTTGGACTGGAATTTACACCATTGGCTCTCCTGGCTCTCAGGCCTTCAGGTTTAAGTGGAGCTACACCACTGGCTTTCCTGGGCCTCTTTCTTGAAGGTGGCAGATTGAGGGACTTCTCATCTCCATAATCACATGAGCCAGTCTCTTCTGATAACTCATTTTCTGTGCATCTATGTACAGCCTATTGCTTCTGTTTCTCTGGAGAACCCTGACTAATAACCAGGTCTTATGTGCCCAGGTAAGGATTCTAGCATGGAGGAACCCTTCGAAGGCTTTAAGCAAGGAGGTCATGTGGTCAAATTTGGGTGATATAAAGGTCACTCCAGCAGCCCGTTGAGTATAGACCAGTGAGACCGCTGGGGCTGAGGTCCTCTCTGGAGGATGTCGTGGTCATCACCCAATGAAGAGACATGGGAGGAAGAAGGAACTAGGCACAGGATGGACTTGGAGTGGTGGTGGGAGCCAGGCCCTGCCTTGGGCAGCCAACATGCCACCCCTGGGACATAACAGAAGCAAGAGCAGGTTGTGGGAAGCTGGCAAGTTTGTGGAGCCCAGCGGGGGTAGGCACAGGCAGCTCTGGAGTTTGGGAGAGAAGGCAGGTGGGAAGGGTGGACCTGGAAGTCGGGAGCCTTGATTGGAGGGATGGAGACATCTGAGCAGGCAAAGCTACCACAGGCACAGCTAGAAAACAAGGTCAGATTGGGGTGTGTTTTCTTGGCCTGCCCAGAGTTTATTTTGAAAGAATATTGAATCTCAACAGTACCACAACCCAGCCACAGTCTAGGCTTCAACACTCTGCCCATGGATCTCCATTTCCCAAGGACCTAACACCCTAGTCCCAGGGACCCTCGAATCCCACAGGACCTTCAACCTGTGGGTCCTACCAGCTTTTTACTGTCCATCACCACCATGTGTCACTTCCCTCCGCGCCCGGCTCAAATTCTGCGGACAGTGATTATCACCACTCCCTGTCTGCACCCTTCACTGCCTCGACACCCTCCCCCTTCACTAAGCCACAAGCCTAGCTAGATCCAACGTCTCCTCCTACCCCACCCCTGTACACAGGCAGCGGGGTAAAGTGGGAGAAACACACAACCTCGCTGACCGATCTTACTTTAAATTTGTGATCTAGATCTCAAACGGAAGCCCAGCAATCATTCTGTGCTTCCCTCAACGCTTCACCATTGCACTGTCCTAGGAATTTTCACACTTCCTCTCCCCAAACCACCAACACCCCCTCCCCCAACTTCATTGTCAGCTGAAGACCTTG